CTAGCTGAAACCGTAGAAGATATGGTGAAACAAGGCGTTTTGCAAAAGGTCGATGGTCAATGGTAGTGGTCCAGAAAAAAGATGGAAGTCTGCGTATCTGCATCAATCCTAAAGATCTAAATCGGGCGTTGAAAAGAGAGCACTATCAACTTCCAACAATCGAAGAAATTACAGCTCGAATGCCAGGGGCACGGTATTTTTCCACGTTAGATGCAAGATCGGGTTATTGGCAGGTACCCCTCGACAAAGAAAGTTCCAAACTCACAACTTTCAACACGCCATTTGGTCGTTTCCGTTTTACCCGCATGCCATTTGGAATCCGAAGTGCCCAGGAAGTATTTCACAAACGAGTACATGAAATATTTGAAGATATTCGTGGAGTGGAGACTGATATTGACAACATTCTCGTGTGGGGAAGAACACTTCAAGAACACGACGAGCGCCTAAAGGCAACGTTGGAAAGAGCAAGAGAATGCAATCTAAAGTTCAAGTTAGAGAAGTGCCACTTCAGGTCCACGATTGTTGTTTACATCGGACATAAGCTTACATCGGAAGGAATCAAACCTGATCCACAGAAAATAGAAGCAATCGTGAACATGCCAGAACCACATGACAAGAAGGGAGTTCAAAGGCTTCTCGGTATGGTGAATTACGTGGGTAAATTCGTACCGAACCTGTCAGAAATCACGTCACCACTGCGAGAATTGCTCAAGAATGATGTGTTGTGGCATTGGTTAGAAAGACATGCAAGTGCTTTCGAAAAGATCAAAACCATTCTTACAAATACAGAGCCTGGAATCTTAACCTACTATGATGTGACAAAACCAGTAAAGCTTCAGGTCGACACCTCAAAATCCGGGTTGGGAGCGGTACTTACCCAATCGAACATGCCAGTTGCATATGCCTCGAGATCTCTAACACCGGCTGAGACTAGATATGCTCAGATAGAAAAAAAACTTTTGGCAGTCGTGTTCGGGTGCAATCGTTTCTATCAGTATATCTATGGCAAGCAAATTATAGTTGAATCAGATCATCAGCCTCTCGAAGCCATTATGAAGAAACCACTGGATAAATCGCCAATCCGTTTGCAAAGAATGCTGCTGAATCTACAAAGTTATGATGTTGAGATAAAATACAAACCTGGCAAGGAACTATATTTAGCTGATACGCTGTCGAGAGCCCATCTATCTAATTGCAAATCCGAAGAAGAAACACTGGATTTGGAGTATCAAGCAATTTCCATGATTTCATCACTAGCTCTATCGGATGACAAGTTAAGGGAGATTAAGGAAGAAACGAAGAAAGATGGGACAATGCAAACACTAGTAAAATTTATCAATGAAGGCTGGCCAAGTCACAAAGATCGTCTCCCAAAGTCATTACAACCACTATGGAACTACAGAGAAGAGCTGACGGAAATCGAAGGCGTGGTATTCAAGAGTGATAAGATTTTCATTCCACCCTCGCTACGAGAAAATGTTCTGAAGAAGATTCATCAAAGTCACATGGGTATTGAGAGAAGTAAACAACGTGCTTGTGAATTAGTTTTTTGGCCAGGCATAAACAAAGAGATCGAGTCAGTCGTCAAGAATTGTTCTGTCTGTGCCGAGTACAGATGCAGCAATCAGAAAGAGCCAATGTTTCAGCACGAAATTCCCAAATATCCGTGGCAGATCGTAGCAACTGATATGTTTTTCTGAAACGGTGATGATTATCTACTGGTTGTTGACTATTACAGCAGATTCTGGGAGATGTTCAAGGTCTCAAACACAAAAAGCTCCACAATAATCGCCAAGATGAAAACCCTTTTCGCAAGACATGGGGTGCCAGAAGTGGTTAAATCCGATAATGGTCCACAGTATTCATCTGGGGAGTTCACCGAATTCGCCAAAAACGTGGGGTTTTAGACATGTAACTTCGAGTCCTTTGTATCCACAGTCGAACGGCCTAGCAGAAAGAACTGTTCGAACAGTGAAGTCAATTCTAACGAAAGCTTGAAGAGATCATCAGGATCCAAATTTAGCTATATTAGAACATCGAAATACGCCAATCAACGACGTTGGATCACCAGCGAGATTGAGTATGGGAAGAAGACTTCGGTCAAGTATGCCATCCTCAACTGATCAGCTCCTTCCAAAGACGGTGAATCCAGCAATAGTCCAGACGAGGCTCAAACAAAAGCAAGCGCAACAGAAAAAATACTATGACAGATCATCGAGACCCTTGGAATATTTATCTGAAGGCGATGATGTCTACGTTCAGCACGAGGGAAGATGGAAACCTGCTATTATCACAAGCAAAGCGGGAACTCCAAGAAGTTTCAATATTGTGACAGAAGATGGTGCCCAATATCGAAGAAACAGAATACATCTTTTCATTAACTTAATTAATACGAGTTTCCAAAGAACACTTACGTACGATTAAGATACTATATTTATTTAGTTTAATCCATACTACTTAGAGATATAACTTTTATATATGAAAAACTCGAACAAAAATAGCAAGAAGTGAACTTTATAATTAGGGGATATGCTAGCTTTTAAAAGGGGGGTTGTAATATATTCATGTTAATATGCACTATAGTTATTATGTTAATTAGCATATATAAACACTAGTCTGTAGCCTGTACATTTAGTTTAGTACTACACTTCAAATATATAACATATAACATAACATCTTGAAATTCCAAAAGCCACCCATCCAAATTCTCAACAGATATGTTTTCAGTCGCACACATAACTTGAACTGCAATTGACCAGACGAAACACATTCTCGAACGGTGTACTGATAATCTTCGGGTAACTTCTCCAATGCTTTTGTTTGAATTTCTTCTTTCTGTTATATTCACGGCAGTTGATTCCCTTAATAGCTGAGCCAAAGAGATCATCGAAATCTTTCACATTGGGATTGATGTCATCCGCCAATTTTGACAAGACAACACATGTAGCACTGCAATTGCACACACGCAACAATTCTGGCACACATGTAAACCTGCGACCAGGCCCCGCATGGCAGTAATTGAAATATCGATTTTCATGTGAAATGGTGACAATGACCATTTACGAAAAACAGCAAATTGCTGAGGCACCTGGCAGAATCTGTGTCGATTTCTGGAGGGGATATCGATTTCTGACTTTTCATTGAAAACTTTATGATGTTGATTAATCTTTCAAAAGAATAACTGTTGAATGTAAATTTGTGCGAATATCATGCTTATTTAAACTACACATAGTTGGGTATATTAAAATACTATATATATTATCAAACAGTTCTAGTGTAAATTAGTTTTGGAGTAAATCTACATAGCTTTCGTCATTTCAGTCACTTTATGGATTCAATATGATGAAAGGCATGACAATACAGCTCAAACATCTCAAAGAACGTTGTGACCTAGGCGGCAAACAGTTTATATTTGTAAACAGTCACAATAGATATTCTGGTCGTCCTGTAGAGTGTAGCACAGTCATTTACGTTTATTATACTAGATTTAAAACATAATGAATGTGACAAGAAATATATCCAGAGTCAAAATAACCAGTGATTTGCAAACAAAACATGAATTGGCAAGTAATAAAAAGTGATATGTAGTGTCGTAAGTCAATGCTATATACTATAATGAAGAATAACCACACATATTTAAACATATATACACTTATATACATTTCTATGGTGACGTCATATGTCACCAGTCTACTAACTACACTAATATCTCCTGGAATTTAGATTAGTTAATTCTAACTATTTACATGTATAATGTGGGAAATCATTTTTTTATTAGGCTTTACGGTACGACCTGATCTGGTCGTTACCCATTTATTGTTCTGTTCTTTTTGTTCATTTTCTAATATTTTTAATAATTTTTTTACTAATTTTCCCTTTAATTACGACATCACTAGAACTATTTCCTTCAGGTACAAGCTCACTATCATTTACAGAATCATCAATATCAAATTTTACATATGTGCTATCCCCTTATCATTAATTTTATATTTATTTTCCCTATTTTCTGAAATGTGCTTTAAATGCTTTTGATTACGAATATACACTTTGCCATTTGAAATATTTACTACTAGTAGATGTGCCCCCCCCCCCTTTGGCGGCGGAAGCGACATCAGCATTTTGAGGGATAAGAGTGACATCATTTTAGGAATATTTTTCGTGTGATCTTTTGGAATAATATGGAGATGGCGTCAGCAAAAGTGTATAAAAAACGGGAGTTTTATGTTAAAATGGAAAGTTTATGTGGTATGTTCGCAGCAATGAGTATTTCTTTGGAGGTGCCGCACAATTTGGTTGTGGATGAAGTATCTTATGAAGTGAACAATGTTTGTCATTTTATGAATGCAGTGGTTGTTTGTGAGACTCAGAGATTATTGAAGGAGAAATGTCCCGCCTGCGAAGTTGATCATCCAAGTCAGAGACACGACTGTATTATGTTGTCAGATGAGGAGGGATGGTTATTGCATGGTTTGGAGGCCGTGGAGCCTGTGATTGAGTGTGAAAGTTTGAGGAAACAGTTTCTTGAAGCTATTTGAGTGATGAAATTGGAATATTACGGGTGCGCGAAGGAACATTATGCGAACTTGATAAAAGATTGTGAAGTAACACTTGATTTTTTTGGGAATTTGAGAGGAAATTTTTCTGATTATCAACCCATTTTGAACTACCTGATGTACTGGAGCGAAGAACATTGTGCGTAAGACACATTTAGTAAAAAAGTTATAAGATACATTTATTAATTTATAAAGTTGTAAAATATTTTTTTAACAGATATGTTTTGTTTTTTTGAGAAAAGAGATTTTACAATTTACTGAGTTGTTCTCATAGTTTATTTTCTAAATGTTTCTGATGTGCTTTCTTGTGATCAGTTTCGAGAGATTTGAATGTTTCCTTTGTCACTTTATCATAATAGGTGTATCGAGGCGGTAAGCACAGGATTCCAGGGGATCAGATTGTGGATTCCATAAATCATGTAGAATATGTAGTAATGGTTGATTGTTTTGATATATTCATAGTAAAGTGTAAACATAGTTTTTATCGGGTTCTCCTTGCAAATACATCAATCAAGTGCTGTGTGAAATCTTTATGATTTTCTATGTTTAGAATTTTCATAGCAGCCACGAATTTGTTCCATGTGGAGGACATGTTGTTAGCTTGTTCTATAGTATTCAATCTGTGCATTTCCCAAGTTTTGTGCTCGTCCATCATTAGACAATCTTGTTTGTATACTTTACAACCACAGCAGCATTCATTGCATATTTTTTTAACTTCGCATGCTACTGTCTTAGCATAAATTACTTCCAGTAAGTGAAATATTGAACCATCCATCATCAGACTGTTTGCCGTGCGTTTTTACAAGTTTAAGATATACTTTTTAGAGATTATACTATTTTTGAAAAAATGTGCGTGTTGCTTGCATAAAATTTATTTAATGTATAGCATTTGTTCCATGACATTTGTGGCGTACGTAACATGTTTGTTCGATAACATTTGTCGCATAACACATATGATTTGGCTGGTTAAGTTGTATAAAGGTCAAAAAGTGAACTGTTTATTTTAAAGTTATAGCAATGGAGCCATACTATGATTGGTTGACTGTGATCCCTAGGCTTTGAAAAATTTGTGTGACCTTAACTTTGATATTGGAAGCCAGTGCAGATTTTGTGCACTTTTGCACCACCACCACGGACATAAATGTGTGTGACAAGGCATTTTTGGGGAAAAGCAAAGAGCAAAGGCAGAGAACAGATCGAAGTGAGAAGGCAAGGAGTGATAATGGACAGGCGCGGAAGGCATGGGCGATACAGGGCAAGGCGGAAGGAGCAGGAGGAATGAAATTGTGTGTAAATTTATTGGTGAATTATTTGCAAGGGAATTTTTATGCGAGTAAATTGAATAGTTATGAGGAAATTTTTATATGTTTCATTGAATATTTATGAGGGAATTCTTATGTGTGAGGCAATTCATTTGAATTCTTTTATATATTTGATGGTTCCTAAAGGAATCACGTTTTTTTCTTCTTTACAGCTGCTTTTCCAACCACAATCCGTAAGTTTCCACTTCCACTACGTGTCAACTGTCAAGTGTTTTCCGCAGGTTTCTAACCATACCAGTGCTACAATATTGTTGATGTTAACAGATTGTCTCTTCTTCAGTGTGATACAATATGTTGCCAGAACAATACATATTACTGATGCTGTTATAAATGTCCTGATCGTAATAAGGGTGATGAGTAGCCCATGCTCTTTTGTTTCTATCATAGAAGAGACAGAAGTAGCCACCTGTGTGAGAAGCTGCGAGCCGTTTAATGTACTAGAAGATGAAACATTGCTATTGATCATAGTAAGCTGCGGGGTGGGAGTGGCAGTGTTGTTGTTTTTAGAACAGTCACAAAGCACAAAGATACTCGGCTCCAGCACAGAACAGTTCAGAGGGTTTTCCCGTAGATCTATGATGGACGTAAGATTTAAAACGCCTGTGAATTTTTATATGTATGCAGAGGAACTGTTTAATCCTGTGTCGACTAAAATAATATATTGCTATGGCGTATATCAAAAAGAATTCGAAGAAATGTTGCAGTCAATGCCCAATTTAACTCTGGTAGAAGGATTTCCTGATAATTTATGCGAGATGACCTGTGGGCATGATAACTCACTGTTATACTGGATGACTTGGCGTCTCAATGTTCCAACGACCCACATGTCTCGGACTTGTTTACATGAGATTCCCATCACCTTGGCATGACTGTGCTGTACCTTACCCAGAATTTATTTCTGCCAGGCGAACGTTCTCAGACAATCAGTTTCAACACTCATGTTCTCATCGTGTTTAGAAACCCACATGACTCGCTTGGTGTTTCCACACTAGCTAGGCAGATGTTCCCCAAACATACCAAATACCTTTTGGATGCATTTCACGATGCAACAAGCGAAGCAAATCGATATTTAGTAATCAATTCTCATCAGTTGACACCGGAAAATATGTGTCTGAGGACCAATATTTTACCTGAATAAAAACAGATTGTTTACGTGAAACATGCTTAAGAGAGGATGTCCACAAAAATCAAACATAAGGCGGCCACGACGGAAAAATCGATTTTGCTCAAATTTTGCCCAGATATACCTTATTATATCGGAAAATGCACCATGTATTTTTTTAGGTCAATTGCTTTTTTAACTTTGAGAA